TCAATATGATTTCTTTTATATTCTTTCCATAAACCTCAGAGCCAAGTATGGACTTCTATATGGACACTGATCTATTTATTCTATTTTCCACAGGTGAACCAGACCAGTTGCTCTTCCACGGTGCCAAACATTACGACCTGGTACACAGAGATGATAACAAGCTGTGTCCAAAGTCTGTCCAGCGATGCAAACAGTTTTGTGTGGCTTTCAACCACGCAGATAAAGTACTAGTCAAGAACGTTGGCATGAGAGAAAGAACGGACAAATTGGGAGAAATAGTAAAGTATACAGGCAATGTATATGTTCACTATTTAACCACTTGTCTCAAAGAATATGATCAGAATTTCTCTTTCAATGCCATAACATTGCCATCGCGAACAATTAAATTTCTCCCAGAAGGTAGTAGGGAAAGCCTTGCTGTTAAGGGATTGCAGGTTGAACCAGCCGAAGATTAGAAATATGAATTGACGTGCAACAACGACGGCAATGGTAAACGTGTTGTCCCCAAACGGCTTGACTTTCTTCCGAAAAAACTTTGCAATAACTGCAACTTGACATGTCAAATTAATGTGGCGTAACTACCAAGGAAATTGATCTTTAAGACCGGGGCATTCATGTTAGAGAAAAGGGAAAATACGGTTAATTGTCATTTATTATTCTCGCGTTACTTGGTAGCTTTCAGGAACTGCATCTCCAATGGTAAGCCTGAGTAATGATTGTATTTGATGTTTGGTTTTTTTTATATATCTAATTTCCTGTAGTTGAGCACAGTTTATGCAGCAAGTTTCATTCTCTTTAGCTAGACTTGAAAGTAATAGCGGAGCTCCACGTGCGCGCGTGTGGGCGGAGCCCCATAGCTTAGTAAATCTACCCATCCCAGAAAATTTGGTAATCACGTGACCGTACACCAACTGCCCGCCGTCCGTCCGTCCGCACCACAGGAAAACTAATGTTTACTTTCCCACTTTCTAACTACTTTGGGAACCCAGGAGGAAACTGATTGCACATCAATGTTGTGATCAATTGACAGCTGTCAAAACAAGGTATCCGCTGACCAGTATCATCGACCCATCGAGATCGAGTACTTTTTGAAGTTATCCACTGACAAGTTACTGGTTTTCAGTAATGATTGCAGGCTCAAGTCTATTTTTTTAAAATTTATATGAAGTATGTTGTGTTTATGTCATTGTGGCCCCGCACTATTAAGATTTTGATCTCAAACTGACCTTGGACGCGAAAATTCAGCCAGTTTTTAAAAAAACATGCAGGGAAGACCTTTTCTTACCAAGCCACGCGTTGGTCACGCTCTACGTCCAATTTTTATGCTCTGATTGGTCAAAATTTGACAGGTGAGTTCATACGGAAAATTTATGCAGCATCTTGAAAGTTGTTTACCTTGACAGAGTTTTGTGTCAACATGTGATGTTTTTAACTGTCTTTTTCCACTGGATGTACAAAATGAAATACAGCTACTATCAAGAGTCTTCTGTTATTCATGATAGTTTGTTTATTGGTTTTTTGGTTGAGAGATCCGTCGCTTGTCAAAGTCGGAAATCCGATTTTGGATGGCATTGTTTTCGTTTTTCACCTTGCTCGATGCGTAAAGAGTATTCAAAATTCTCAAGCGATTCTAGCGTTACTTGGTAGCTTTCAGGAACTGCATCTCGAATGGTAAGCCTGAGTAATGATTGTATTTGATGTTTGGTTTTTTTTATATATCTAATTTCCTGTAGTTGAGCACAGTTTATGCGGCAAGTTTATGCACGTTTGTAGGGTCTGAGATAATGAGCCCGTTTCTCGAAAGTCCCGGTAACTTTTCGGGCCCGAAATCAAATATTCAAATCGAAATATAAAGAATAAGAGCGCGGGTCCTGGCTAGCGAACTACTCCATTTTGTTTCATTAACTGATAGTTTTCTCATGTTAGATGCAAAACTATTGAAACCTTGATCTTTAATGGAAACGGAGACAGCTTACTGGGCCCGTTAATTATCGGGACTTTCGAGAAACGCGCCCCTGACCTCGTATCAGGTTTGATATAAACTTGCAGAAGTTTAAAAAGCCTTTAGGTATATTTTCTCACCACAAATAGAAAGAAAACGTTCCGAAGAATATTTAGTTATAGGTTTGGCTGTAGAAAGAAAACTTTGAGCGATTTTCTTGCCTCAAGTTCATCTTTGAGAAAAGCAAACACCGGGAGGCCGGCTTAAAACATAAACTTATTAAGCTTTAAGCTTTAAGACTCAGGATTTTTAGAAACGCTTCAATACTTGTCTTCGTGAATGAAAATTGTTGTCTCTGTAAATGTTTCACCGAATTATATTTCTTTTAGTGATTGTTAGTAGTCTCTCTTGCAATTTTAATCGCTGTGCCGTTCGTTTTCAGTCGTTCATGAACATCGCTTGCAGGAGTTATCTCAAAATTGCGTACGCATCAAACGTTTTTTTAAGATTACACATCGTTATAAAACCCTTAAATAAAAGAATAAACATAATAGATTATTTATTATGTTGAAGCGTAACTTTATTAATGTTCACTGCAAATTTGGCACTCATCAAAAGTGAGAACTGGCTGGCAGGTTAGGTGATTTTGGAAATTTTTTGAACGGTTTCGTTAAAAGCCCACAATTGATCTTCCTGAATATTGACTGAGTGCAATTTGTCTCGAAAAATTGTGAAATACTGCATTCTGTGCGAGATCTGTATGATAAACAGTACTGTTTCACCTCAGATGTGATGTATAAAAAGTATAAAAGGTTGGTTTACACACCCCCGGATTTGTTGGCAAGATTTTGTAAAGTAAACTTGTCGAAAGCAAAAACTTTGGCCTGATTTGTTTTCCAAGAATTTGTTTTCCAGGTCTAATCTACTGTGATCAAGAGCCATTATGGCTCTTGAATGTGATCGAAGATGATTGCTATTTTGGCAGTGTTTTATATGGCTATTAACTCGGTGTAAGATGTTTCACTCTAAATCACTTAGCCTTTCCCTCAAAAGTCACATGAATTTGCCCTTAAGTTAACTGATTTGTGGATTACAAGTTTATTGTTTGATTTAAATAATGAATTTATTAATGGGAGCTTCGCTTTTAGCCCTGGCTAAATCTTTATATTAGGGTCTGTGAATCTTGAATATTCTGGTTTTCAGAACGTACAAGAGTCTTTATGGAATTGCACCACCATGTCTGAGATCACTACTGAAAATAATAGGGTCTCTGAATCTTGAATCTTCTCGTGGAACAGGGGTGGTGAATAAACGTATTACAGCAAAAGGAATTGTTGAAATACAACTCTTAATTCCTGCTGCGTTTACGAATTATATCATATCTCCTTCTAAAGAAAGTGTTACCAATTTATTGATTGTTATCTTAAAAATCATATGAAATTATCTTAATTCAACAAACAATCACCAAGTACTAGGAGGATATAGTCTCTCACTTCCCTAGTTGCTGTCAAATTCCAATGAGGTTTTAAACAAACTGAAACAATAATTGTAGAGCAATCCAGAGAAAACCATACAAACAATTCTAAGCATTTTTCGCTGCTTTGTTGACAAAAAACCACATGTTTGACAAATGATCGTCAACAGTTCATTCAAGAAACCTTGCCTCATGTTTTGCCCAAAACTTGGTGCATTTTTGATCAAACAAAACAAAAATAAATGAAAGAATTCAACATTAGCCCGTCACTCCTTCAGCTCCTCAGTTGTCTCAATATAGCTAGGGATACTATCCTACAATAATCGACAGACACCCTTGCTGTACTCGTCAAAATACCACTCAGTGACCCAGTTGTTTTACGTGAGCCGTTTTTCAAACCCCAGCCCCTCCCCCAAAAAGAAGCGCTAAAAAAATATTGCAAGTTGGATGGATAAAACTTACTGAATCAAATCAAAATACATTACTCTTAATAATATCCAAGGGCAGTGAACATAAAGTTTACTTTCTGTTTCATATATTGAATTGGCCCTTTATAGCAACAGAGACATTGATGTTCAAAACCTACCAGCCTTTTAGTAGGCAATGATATATCTGGGTATCCATCACTGTCATCATCTAGGGAAATTCTGCAAACAGAAATGTGTAAAAGATCAGTTACAACAAGTTTTCCTTGAATTGAACTTAATTCAAAAGTCTGTAGAAACCAAGATACAAATCATGACTGTTGCTACTAACTGGCTGAATGGAAATACCGTGTAGATAAAAATGTTAAGTCTTGAACAGTTGCATGACAGCCATTTTAGATAAAGTAAACTTAAGCTTGTGATATATTTTTTTAAAATATGCTTCTTCCCACAAACCTTTGTGCTGAACATTTCTGGTGATGCTCTCTGAGCAATGACATTGAGACTGATTTTCCACAAGCCAAACATGGAACAAGAGCCAGTGCATCACTTTCTTCCTGAAAATTAACAGAATAATTTCAAAGTTCAAAGACAGATAACTTGGAGGGTAAGATTTCCGTACAACCCCATACATTAATTTTATTATGCATGCATGTTCATATTAAACTACTTATGTGAAATAGTATGAGATTACTGCATGTATAATAAACATATGCATAATAAACATATGGGGTTGAACTTGGAGCTTGGAGTAGTTTCTATTCATTAAATTTAACTACTGTAAATCCTCAAATAATTACCTGGGGTGCTTATGCAGAATAATTTTAGGATAGCGTTGGAGGTGCCCACAGGGGAAGGAGACCTGGGGGAAACTATCCTGCAGGGCTTTAGATGAATGCATAATTACAGACTCACCACTTCTTGTTTCACCTCAGTCTCGTCAAGGTTTTCTTGAATAGGCCTTATATAAATAAGAGCCTGGCCCAACCCAGCTCCATCCCTGAGAAATGGAACAGTGTAGCCAGAAGGAGGAGGCTTAATAAGCAGTAACTCGCCTGGCCTTGCGCCACTCCTGAGTAGTTCGAATCCACTACCCTCTTTTAGTTTCGGGTATGCATCTTCCATTTTTCTTTTGAAAGTTGGAGCGTCGTCTCTGTTCCCAAACGTTAGCTTCTTGCGGCCCAAACCTGCTGCAAGCAGGGTTAATTTATCCGCCTTAGTTGCTACTGATTGACTATCTTTGTTCACCATACATACGAATTCCCGCGTCCAGGTCTCTCGAACTCGATAGTATCCTCCTCCATGTGACGACCGGCTTCTTTTCGCTGGAGGAAAAGATTTCGACTCTGACCTTTTGGGAAAGGTTGAGGTACCAGGGTTAGTTGTTCGGTAGCCAGAAAACAGTGACCTGAAATTTTGAAGCACCCGGTTTTGGTCATGACTCGAACTGGATACAGAGTTCGTCACCACTGTTTCAGTCCCTGTAACAACTCTTCCTGCAGTTGAAACAGCTGTGTCGTCAGACTCTCGATCTCTAGCGAGCAAACTAGCTGCTTCTCTCAGAAGACTAACAGCCTTGTCAGTGTTACCGTTCAAAGACATCTCACAAAACCAACACTAAAAAACATCCAGCCGTCTAGTTATTAACCTACCAGTTCGCGCGCCAAGCTGAGTGACCGCCCCCTTCTTGTATTTGAAGTAAAACCGCTGACAACACAGCTCAGGGAGTTGAATTTCGCAAAATTCAAGAGATTCAATTGTGTCAAATTCACGAAGCCGAATTCTGCAAAAATTAAGCCTCCCTATTCTACGAGAGTGGCAATTCTAACTTAGTCACAACTGTATTTGTTAGCGCTTTAAGGTGTAGTTAATGTAATTGTACAAAATGTACTTGTGTAAAACTGCGGAATATGCCTGTCACGGAAAAGAGATGACTACAGTAAAATGAAACGTGCTACAATAAACAGGAAAACAGTGCCATAAAATGAAAAGACAGTTATGGCGGGGATTACCCCCCATAAAGATATACCTATAGATATTGGTGGGTGAACTTGTTTCCCACACATTAACAAAAAAGGCCATCATGATTTTTCCGGGGCCATTCCCCTTTATACCCACCTCCCCCCCTCCCCCCGCCTCTATAAATGAGATTTTCTGAAGGGGTCAAAACTAGGAGAGGGGTTTTCCTGAGGGGGTTTGTTGTCCCAAATGTCATTTTCAAAAGAGTGCAAATACCAAGAATACATAAATCTCTGAAGAGGTAAAGGGAGAGTGTGATCATCAATATAGGCATGGTGAATGCAGTTTTTCTTGTAAAGAGTACTGTAAAACATATTTTCTGAAGGGTAAAGAACGAAAATAATATTGTTTCTCTGGGTATCTAACAGTAAATGCTAATTTCTGAAGGAGGTAAACCCAGAAACAATTTTCTGAAGGGTCAGACCAAAAACCCGTCATCAATAGCGGGGGGGGGGGCTGGTGGATAATTAAATTGAATGGCCCCAGATGTTACAATAGCAACTTTTCCTTTTCTATTTGGACACTGCTGTTTCCCTTCTACCAGCATTTACAGGTTGGGCTGGGTATCTTAAGAGGCGTTGCCTGTAAGGATCGAGCAAAGTTGGAAATTGGCCCAAAAATCGCAAATTTTGAAACTTTGTCAGAATAAAGTCTATCATATGCCTGATTCATTGGCATAATTTGTTTTGTCTTAAACTGAATATTTTCCTTTAGAGACGTGTTTACTTTTGGGGGGCATTTTTTTGCTTAAAAAGTGGAAAAATCAAAATTTAAAAAATCAGTAAAAAATTTCCAAAACCTTTGTAGCCAATGAAACTTATTTCAGTTGTTAGAAGTGATCTCTCAATTTCAACTTCCATATATATTGTTTAGATCAATAATGTTTTTTTCAACAAAATTATGTTGAAAGACGACTCTCTTTTTCTTAATACTCGTACAGTCATGGGCTATGCTGCATATCCCGAGGTATATCTCGAGTAGTAGACTGAGATTGAGCAATTTTTTTATACCTTTTGGAAGGCGTTATGCTGGTGAAGTTTTTGATATAAAAAGTTCCGCGGGCAGTCTCTGTGTGTTTCCAGGAGAGCGCCTCAAAAGTGCCCAAAATTCGACTTGTTTTGAGACGCTCTCTGAACGTCTGTCGCGAGGGTTGGTGTGACGAAAATACAAAAGCTGGTAATAAACTATGCAATTTGACAAAACCGCTTTGTTTATTTGTTTTTATTTCCTAACCAATATGTACATTGTTTTTATTGCCCTGCTAGTGCGTCAAGTCTGATAGATTTACCCGCCGCGTTCCTTGCTACGCTGGTGCAGCTTAAACCTTCGCATCTTGTCAAACACACGAGCAACTTTTCTTTAATCCAATAAAAGCTTTCATGAATTTTTCGATCATTGATGGTGAATGGCCTGTAGTTGTATGAAGGTCTAATCGACCGCTTTAAATTGTATGTCAAGAGTGTAGCTTTAACATTTGCCTCGTTATAGTCGTCTTGGAAAATTCACTGTGACATCCTGTATGGGAAAAGATGTTTGCATGTCACGTGAGAGTATTTACATTGAAGAAATTTCACTTGGCACATCATTTCATTTCTGTATGTTAGCTTCATCTTAATCTAGAGGGAAATCTTTGAATTCGGACTCCAGTCTTTTCGACAGATTTTTAAGGTTGCCTCACTTTGCATGCGTGGGAAAGTACCCGCAAAGTTTAGCGCTGTAATTCAATAAGCATTTGTCACGCTTGATTAGTTACAGGTGCATCAAACAATCTAGATTCTACTTGTTCGTAACTTCCCCGGGAAACACTTTACCGGATACAATTTCATAATATCATGTTCTTTCGAAACCCTTGTTTTCCTGGAAGACAGTTTAAAATTCAAGCCATTATATTTATTGACGCGAAAAACTCTCCTGTCCACCTGCCAATCATCTGCGAAGACTTATCTGCTAAAAGATCGCCAGACGTAGCTGGAAAGTTTGAGGCGGCGCTTACAAACATTCCCACTATCACGCTAACTTAAAACAAGTGAATCGCAGAGATCTCTGTTCGTAAAAGTGCAAAAAATGTATAAATGCGGGATTGGAAAGCTATCTGGTACAGAGTGCGGTTCAGTTACTGTGAAGGATACAGTAATTAACGAATATCAAGCGTTAAGTGATTGTCAGCGCGATATTATGGGTCACTTGGAAATGTTGAAAATGCGTGGAGAGGACGTGTTGTCTGAGAAAGAGTTGATTTTACTGAGAGCAGGTGAGAACATTTTGATATCCCTTACATCTGTCATTGAAGGGATGTTCATGGTCGACTTAAATTTGTATTAGGAGTATTTTCGGGAACCGCTGAAGTAGACTTCATGGTGTGTCCGAAACATCGAGATACCTTTGGTATAAAATGGAGAGGGCGTAAGGAGATTTGCCAGGTACCGGAGGGGGTCGCATCTCACCGCTCAAAAAATCACACGGGTGATCGCACTATCAGTAGGAAGCTGTCAGAGGAAATCTTCAACAGGACTGGATCACTTATACCCATCGGCTCAGGTATTCAACTGTATTATTTTTCTTTATTAGAAATGTTGCACTAACTACCGTATTCACTAACAAAGCCCTTCTCGAATGTTATCTTTCTTTAAGCAATCTGTCGGCAGTGTCGTGAAAAGCTGAACACAAGCATCACAACACATCAAAAGAATTCACAAGAGGTGAGGGAAAATAGTGAACGTAATGACTGTAGTTGTTTCCTTATGGCTGTTAAGCCGACTGATCCTTCTTTTTTCGTATTTTGTCCTCTCCTCAACACCTATAGAGCCGCAGGCAACTATTGTGTTGGGTAGCCTGTGGCGATAAGCTAGTAATGGGGCAGACTCGTACCCAGTCGTTGTGTTAGGCGTGGACAAATCAAGGGACAGGGCAGAAAAAAACGAGAGAGGGCATCGCCCTGGCCAATTTTGTGAAAGAATAGTTATAATGATAGTGATTATGATAATGGTACTAATGATGATAACAATATAAACAATAGTAAAAATTATTTATAAAGACATTACACGTTTCAAGAGAGAAAGAAATAAGAGGTAATAGCTTTACTCCTAAAGAAGGGCCTACAAAACGACACCCAAACTTTGTAAAGAATGCCGAATGAAGACAGTTGTCGTATAACCCACGGAAGAGGTTGTTATGCCATTGTCTGCTAGCACTTGTGTGAGTTTACATTATGTTTTCATTTTTAACGTAGGCCACTGAGAGCGTTTCTAGAGCCAGTAAGGTAAGCTTCCCAGGATTTAATCAAGAAGAGGGAATAGAAAAGATTTCACGAGATCTTGAGCGTTTGGCCTTTAGCCCTGACAGCAGTCTATTCCAGCCTTCCTCGTCCCAGGAGGAGACGCAGTCCACAACATCAACACTTGATGACAGCATCAGCCAAGCCACGTGTGCGCAATACCTTAAACCTCCAGATAACACTGACGAAGGTAAGGTAGCCGCATTGCAATGGTTTGTGGATGAGTGCAGTATTGGGCCTCTTGGGTCTATTATGAAGCGTCCATGGACTGATGCCACCTCGAAAACACGTGAATGCTACATCCGTAAAGCTAGTACAATTATCTCAGAGGTCTTAAAATTGTAGCGCTGCAGTCCGCTCCAGAATTGTGGGAGGCAGTGAGAGGAAAGAACGAAGTTAGCCACCTCCTTGGGTCTGTGCATAATGGCAGTGATCTACTATTAGCTGTAGTGGAGTCTTACAAGCAAGCGGACACATCCGAGACAAGGCGTCAACTATTAAGTCTCGTGGCCAGTAAAGTGACCTATGCAGAACTGGTAGCACACATACCTCGACTAACAAGATATGAGTTCACGGCGGCAAGACGATACACGCTTGAGGTAGGCGCAGGACTTACTGTACAGTCGGAGGCCAAACAGATAAGAGAAAAAGTGGACCCTGCCAAAATAGATCACTTTCTGGACTTTATCACGTCTTCTACAATCGTCCAGGACCTCCCATTTGGTCGGAAAACCCTGACATTAAGCAGCGGCACACAGATCGACATTCCCAATGTAATAAGGACAGTGTTGCCATCTCGTCTGATCAAGCAATATAATCAATATTGCAGTGAAGTGAATTACGCTCCACTCTCGAGCCGTACGCTGTTTAGAATTTTGTCTGAGGCATGTGTGGCGTCAGTTCGAAAGAGTTTACAGGGGCTAGACAGCTACGCAGCAGAAGGCGGGCGCGGATTTGATGATTTATTATCGCTCCTTGACACCCTGGTGAAATATGGGGCTAATGAGGCTGTAATTGCAGAACTCAAGGACAACTTTAGATACCTAAAACAGTACATCAAAAGTGATTACAAGGTAAATGATTAGTGCCAATATAGAGTCTGCACATGCATTTTCATCGTGTGAAGGTGTAACAGCATGATTGTCTCGTTCACAGATCCACTGCTCCTTGGCTAGTACTATTCCTGACCACTGCAGAGTATTTGCACTCAGTGATGCTAAAAGGGAGAGCTATCGCCACCACTGTGATCACCAACATAATCAACGTTGTGAGAGCTGCGAGACCTTGAAGACTGTATGTAGCCAATAATAAGTAAACCCGGCCTAGGGCAAGATAATTCTATCTAATTATATCTTATATCTCTTTTAGTCTTTAGACTCAGTTTTGTCCTTTATCCAGTCAACCAACCTCCCGCAGGACCTTCAGGATGACCTCCTATTTAATGCAAGAACCGCAAGTGACGGAGTACATTCCTGGAAGGCTCACCAGCTGCGCATGGTTCACCAGGATACAGCTAGAACAGATATCATTGATAGTCTTCAGGAGGACTCGGTGCTGATCACACAGGATTTCGCCATGAAGTTCTTACCCACCCAGTACAGGGAAACGCAGGCTGATTTCTTTGGTAAGAGAGGTATCTCTTGGCACTTGACAGTTTGTCAGAGCAAACAGCGAGGGGAGCTGGTCGCGCAGACGTTTGTGCACATAATTGAGTCGGGTCTACAGGACAGCCACACAGTAGTAACCGTGATGGAGCATGTACTGGAAACCTTGAAGCAGGAACACTCCCAGTTAACCCGAGCTGTCTACCGCCAAGACAACGCAGGCTGCTATCACTGCGCAAATACCATTTTAGCCAGCAAAATACTGCGAGAGAGAACCAACATCGATCTCTACCGGATTGATTTCAGTGATGCACAAGGTGGTAAAGGTCCATGTGATAGGAAAGCAGCGCAAATCAAGACGCACGTGAAGCAATACATCAACCAAGGTCACTCCGTCACAACACCTGCTGACCTTAAGAAGGCTATAGAGTCCGATGAGGGCATTGCGGGTGTGCGAGTTACGTTTGTTCCTGTTCCCAAGACCACAGTGAAAACAAAGAGTATCAAGTGGGAAGGCATCAGTAGTTTGTCCAACTTCGAGATCACGGCAGCGGGTGTAAAGGCCTTCAAGGCGTACGGTATTGGTGCAGGGAATTTCCGATCCTGGACGTCATTTTCAGGTATGTTCAATCGAAAGGTGGTAAAGGAAAATTACTCGCGTTCGTGTTAAAATGGATCTCAGTCCGCTTTATTATACTGGTTTCATAGCACGCACACTTTACCCATTTGTTCTCAAAGGGGATGCATGGTAATACTTAACAATAAAGCTATAACCCCATGCCACTATATCATAACTTATACCCTTATTAATAAAACCTTGCTTATTTGGTCTTTTCTCTCAGGAATACCACACGATAACCAGTTTGAATGGATAGCTGAAAGGCCAGGGAAAGGAGAGTTTGTGTCAGTGAAACCTAGACAGCCAAAGCCGGCGACATCCCATACAGATAGCCTACTCAAGGAGGGCTCTACCCCTGAAATAACCCAACAAGCAAATACCCACCTAGCTGATAGTCTCCTATTTCCATGCCCAGAGGACGGATGCACCAAGTCCTACATGACATACGGACGGCTGGAGCAGCACCTCATGTACGGTAAACACCAATTCCGTCGGACCGAGAGTGTCTCACTTATTGATCGAGCGAAGGTCAGTTATGCGGAGCGTCTTGAGGCTGGAGGGAGCCATCCTGAAGTGACGATACCGGATACAAAAATACACAGTGGTTCCCCTTGTCTGCCAGAGGGATGGGCTTGTCGGGAGTCCGCCGTGCCACGCCATCGGTTTAATTCCAAGCAAAGGAGGTACTTGGAGGAAAAGTTTAAACATGGCGAGACCAAGGGGATTAAAGCAAACCCAGATGACGTCTCGAAGGAGATGAGATGTTCGAGAGATCAGAGCGGGAAGCGAATCTTCACGGTAAAGGAGTTCCTACGTCCACAGCAAATCACCTCATTCTTCTCTAGGATGGCATGTGAGAGAAGAGATGCCACCGACTCCGATGATGAGGCTGAAGAATTTGCGAGGCAGCAGGCGGCCGTCCACTCGGATGTGATGGAAGTGTTACGGCAGGAAATCACTCATCCCTTGCTTTTCTCTGGCAAAAACCTGTGCTTGATGACAGAGTCAGAGATCGAAAGCCTCAAGATCACTCAGATGCGTTCCATAGTTAGTCACTTTTCCATTAAAGTTAAAGCTCGAAAGAAGAATGTCTATTCTGTTGCTATTATTGAATTTTTGAAAAGGTGCTCCTGTAAGCAGTAATTCTGGTAACTATAATTACTGCAAAAGCCGTGGACAAAGATCCCGCTGGTTGTTAACGTTGGATCTCTAGAAAACAGATCTAATCAGCTAAAATATTACTGAAAACAAAAAAAGAGAAGTCCAAAGACTACTGCAAGACTGATTAACAACGTGTACTGTTTTTATACAACAATATTTCGGCGGGCCATACCAGCCTTCTTCAGTAGGTTTACAGATGTTACTGAATTTATGATGGATATTACAATATTATATAGAGATGGAGGATGTCGCAAAAAAATTGTTTAAAAGGGGGAGGCGGAAATGACGTACAACATAAAAAAGAAAAGAACAACTAATAAGGATATAGGTTACAATAATTCATCACGGCGGTTTAGGCCATTGAGTTCAAGAGTTATGGCCTTATTTATCAAATGTGACTCCCTCGCCTTACGGACTGAGGGTAGGGGGCGTTGGTTCTAGGTTATAACATAGGACCAAAAGGTCCTACTCTGGAACCAAATTTGTTATGCTTTTCTCGTGGATCAAGATTTTTGTGCGGCATTTAATTTAAGTCACCAGTTATTTCTAACCCCCCACTCCAGAACAAAACCTGTATATTATCCGATGACATGTAATTTGAAAAACAAATTGTGGGATATTTACCTACAAATTAAAAGAAAGGGCATTTATAAGCAAAGAGAGAGTTCTTCTGTGAGAAAGTTGCTGAAAAGTTAAAGAAAGGACTCTTTCATCAGTAATACAAAATCATCCTTGCATGGCTCGTTGCGTTTAAAATGACCAAAACCAGCCATAAATCAGATATACCCCCGGAAAATATTAAACTTACCAAGTTCGGTTATTTTATAGTGTCTTTACTGCCGTAGCTGGATACGATAAAACTCGTAACCAGTCCCCCTGTATGTGTCACCCAAAATGGCGTCTCGTGAAAACTCGAATTTTCGGCATTATTGAGTCGTTCTCCTGTCAACACAATATGACTGCCCGCGGAAATTTTTATAACAAAAACTGCACCAATATAAGTACTTTCAAACAGTATAAACAAAATTTCCGAAGTCCATCTACTTCTAGAGATATTTCCCGGGAACTATAGCATAGTCCCTGGTTGAACAAGTGTAAGGAAAAAGGAGCCATCTTTGAACATACATTTTCTAGGCAAAAACATAACGGGTCCCAATGGAATATATATTTTTTTATATCTCTAGATTCGTGTTAAGATATGGATTAAGTTTCACTGGCTACATAGTTTTTGGAATTTTTTAACCGATTTTTCAAATGTTGCTTTTTTCCAGTTTTCACAGCCATTAATGTCCGCTCAAAGTGAACACGTCCCAAAATAACAATTTTGAGTTTTGAAGAAAACGTATTATGTCATTCAATCAGGCACGTCAAAAGCATTATTCTGACAAAGTTTCAAAAGTTGTGATTTTTGGCCCGATTTCCAACTTTGCTCGATCCTTACAGGCAGCGCCTCTTAAGGTCTCTGATATGTCTTTGTCTTTTCAGTAAAACATACTATCTTGGAGAAATTTAACCAGGAAAAGCAAAAAGAAGAAGTTATATGTCTGAAAATTAACTTATCTGAAGATACAGAAGCTTTGGCAAATAAAAAATGTATTCCCTTGATCTGTCTCTACCCATTACCACAGTGAAACTCTAAAACCATAAACAAGATGCAACCTTAAGAACCCAGGGCACAAGAATTTGTCCCAATATACTAAAAAAAAATACCAAATTAATAATAAGGAATAATAAAAGATGGTGAACATGAACATAGAAATAAGTTTTATCTTCTCAATTAACTTACCATATAATTGTATAGAATTACTAACCACATTACTTATCCAAATAATAGCCCTTAGACCTATTGAGCTAACTCAATGTTGTACCCAATTCAAACCCTTTGGGAATAAAATGTCTTGTTTCAGGAATTTCCATGTCATTTAAATGTGAATTCCACATTATAAAGCAAATACAATACACAGAGAATCTCAACCCTGGGAGATTTAAATTGGGTACAACATTGAGTTAGGTGAATAGGTCTATTACACATTATCAGTATCCTTTCCTGTGAGGCTGAGGTTGACCTTGTTTTGATACAAACCTCTTTTCTTTTTTAAAGGAAATTATACTTTAAAAATATCTAATTGCATAAGAGCAAAATGATTTTAAGTTGAATCAAATCAAGGTCTTCTCAATGTCGGCCTTATTTCTACCTAATGAAAATTGACATTATCTGGGGCAGCATGGAAATGGAAATTATTTATAGTTGGGGCTTTTGTAGTACTTTGTCTTGGTTGCATGCTGACTGGATCGTGTTTTGATGGGCACTCAGCCCGAATGTGCCCGTAAACTCTGCATTTGTGGCAACGAACTGAAATGATAAAATCATATATTTTTTTATGTAATAAATGAAAACAAAATTATGATGCATCATGTTGTTGCACCAAGAGCCAGCAAACACAATTGCCATCAAACACCTTGTTGGAGAATAGCATGAGTTATAAATTCATCTTATTCTTCAGACCCAAGTGGTTCTAATATTATTTTCCTTGAAGATTGTTAACATTTATTCTAGTTATTCCTTTTTTTAACCTACTCTCCTCAGTGGCTTAGTTGGCCCATGCCAAGGTCTTTGCTGATAAGTCATAACACAATTAATATTTATGTGATATTTACAAAAATAATTATGGTTTTATTAGTTTGTAGCTGATGTGCAAGTGTTTGGTTGATTGTTTCAAAGAATGTCTTTCATACCATTATAAAAAAGCACTCGTCCTAAGCTGCCAAGGAATATGAAACTCGCTTATTGCTTATAAGCTCCAAACTTACCTATTCTGTTTTGTCTTCCACTGAAGACTCCGTCTTCCCTCCTACTTTCCCCTCTTCTTATTTCCCTTCCTCTTCCTTCAGCTCTGCCAGCATCCCTTCTTAGCCTCTGATGCCTCATTCGTCTTTCCCTTCTTATCTCTTCGTGTTTCCGTAGCCGTTCTCTTCTCTCCCTTTCTCTTCCCATCTCTCCCTCTCTCAGCCGTTCTCTTAAATCCCTTTCTCTTCTTCTTTGTTCCTCAGCCTCTCCTTCCCTTTCCAGCCTGTCTTCTCTATTTCTTCGTCGAGCCAGTCCATGTCTATGACATGCTCTTCAAAAATAGTAAAACAACCTTAAGTCTAATATCCATAAATAAGATTGTCTAGTGGTTTAAATGGCAGTTTATATTTAAACAAACCATCTCTCCTTGATTCCTAAGAGGGGAGAGGGGCATTTCGAGGTACATAAATCTGTAATTCAGGCCCAAAATTCCATACTGATTATTTAAATCTGTCCAAGATCTAGTCAACAGTCCTGATTGATTGATGACACAGTAATATAAATAAATACCATACATGAGGTAGAAAAGATGTACACATACGCTATTAACAGAGATTATATTAGTGAATCATGTTATGATTCTTATTAGTGCTAGCGAGGGGTGGGGGGGGGGTGGAGGTGGGGTATTTGACTGCTTTGGCTGGAAGACTGAAACCATGAAAATTCAGGTTAGAAATTTTTAACCTAGGTTGATTCTTAATTTTCTTTGTCTAGAGGACAAAGAAAATAGAGAATCAACACAGGTTAAAAATTTTTAACCTGAATTATATTTTGACATATAACAGCTACACAAAAAAGCAACATTTAGTCCATGGGCCAACACCCCAAAAATAGGGTTTTTTGTACCATGTCGAGGGACCAGTGCTATCATATATTTTTGAAATCTACAATGACTGAAGTTTATTTTAAAGTACGATAGCAGGCCTCTGTGAGTAGCTTTCTTGCTCTAATCATGTGATCAATGACGTCATTCAAAACTGCCTCATGGCCATGAATGAGCTTCAGAGCCTCAAATTCTGAGGTATATTCATGGCACAATTCCTTTTTTAAATGAGCTTTTGTGCATAAGACAGATTAAATAGGCTGCTGGGTTCAACTGGGAAACAGAGACAATTGTAAAAATTATATTCTTGTTGCCATGGCAACGAAAATAGCCATTTAGTCTGCGACTGAAATATAACTCACTAAAAAAAAAGTTTCCTACTTCCTTATTCTAAAAATCGTAGCGTCAACAATTTATGTTTCCATAAGAAAACAATGTTCTGTTCTTTTCCTTTAAGAAGCTAACAAGTTCCCACTAGTTTTCTAGATCTTGCTTCTGAAGCCTGATATCTATATCTTTGCAGCCATTCTAGTACCAGACACAATCTACTGGAGACTTCTTCCCTTTCACGTCAGTCAAACTTGTTCAAGTGTTAATTTCACTGAAATTTAACAAAGGAGAAACGTTAAATTTCAAACAAACAAAACAGCAGTGTTATGACGAATACATTTACCAGTTGCCATGACAACCACAGTGATTGTATGCATTTAGTAAAGTACATTGTTCAAATAGCAATACGAATTTTATACTTTCGGATCAAATAGCGATAAATACTCTTTTATTTGGGAATGTTTGTGTAAAAAAGTTATTTCATATATTCTATTGTTCATGGGACTCTTACCAATCGCTATCTTCAGCATCATTGTCATCTTCAGGCTTGTTTGTGCAATCTTGAAGGTGGCATATGTCAGTGAATTTCAAGCCATTGACAATACAGGAACAAGATGGAAGTTTGCAGGACCTACTGCACTGGCAAGATAGTACTTCCAGGACTGCTTGCAGAGCCGGCTGACCACCCCTCCAGTCTATAACCAGCTTCCCATCTTCAGTGCACCAGCCAGATCCTACTGGTGATGGTATGTCTGGGCATCTTTGCAAACTTTGTCTCCATAGAGCAGCCTGGTAGTTAGTCTGCCAGCACAGGTCCGAAATCCAAAACACCCATTTGAATTGAACAGATTATCATAGCTTTAATCACAAATCTACATGCATAATACATCTCCAAATCGCAAAGGAAGTGAATCTGTCAAACTAGATGTACAGATGTACAGTTGGTATGCTGGAAAACGGCAAGCAGAAAGGTAAAAACTT